ACATTCGATTGTACTATTTTTGCATTCAAATGCAAATGTTTATTTTAAATTTGACTAATATTTATTTTTTTATTCACAATCTCCTCATCACAGGCAGGCACAGCACTCATGTTCGTGTTTGTGTTTGCTGTCTGCATCATTCATAGTATGTGCCTATATCACTATGCACTATGTCGAACATTTTTTATATCGTTATCGAAGAAGGTGTACCGTCGATAAATATCGATACCGTGTTATCGCCCAGGCCTACAAGGGGCCTCTGGAAATTTCCAAGGGGACATCAATATCTCTTAAAATGATTTAAAATATGATATTTTTCATCTTAACGGACCCCCTCAACAACTTTTTTTCTTTGAAGAATAAGGGTCACCATGGTCTTGGAAAACCGAGATATATGAGGAGTAAAAAGGAAAGGAAAGGAGGAAAGGACGTGACATGTGGTCAAGTATGGTGTCCTATACTCGGAATTTGTGCTCTGCATTTAACCCATCCAAGTGCACACACACAGCAGTGAGTAGTGAACACACACACACTGTGAACACACACCCGGAGCAGTGGACAGCCAATAATGTGGCGCCCAGGGAGCAGTTGGGCTTGCTCAAGGGTTTCACCTCAGTCGTGGTATTGAAGGTGGAAGAGAGTGCTGGTTATTCACTCCCCCCACCGACAATCCCTGCCGGTACCGAGACTCGATCCCGCGACCTTTGGGTTACAAGTCCGACTCTCTAACCATTCTAACCATCATTTACTACGTGGCACAAGCCAATTGGCTTCTGCTGTTTCTGCAGCCAATTAGATTGCTTGCTCAATATTTAAATAGTCTGGTTCAGTGTTTGTTGTAAGCTGGTCCTGCAGCGCACATGCATCTCAAACCCTCCACCTCCCTAGCTCCACCTGTCTAGATCTGCTACGGGATTTATGTATCCTTATTCATGCAGCAACAGAATATTTTATATGCTCACAGCAGCATGTCTGTGTATTTATTGGCAGTAGCAAGTCCATACTTGCTCTGAAGCAACAGCATGCGTAGCAGATCCAGTCCGCCATGACCCAATACAGTACGTTAACACTGTCATAACACTGTTTATGCTAAAACTATTCAGAGAGTTGTCATGCTTCAAATATAAAAGTGTGATTTTTAGACCTGGAAAACTCATGTAAATTAATAAAACTCCATTTCAGTTACAGTAGGTATTGCCCAGTAATTAATAAATGTGTGAGTTTTCCTCCAGGACAATAGAGGGTGACGTGTGAGACTGTCTTACCAGAGAAGCATTCCAGGAAATCTTGCTCCAGTTTAATAGCACGGTCCATACCTTTCCTGGCTTGTTCCTCAGTTAGTCGCGTGTTGATCTCTCTGGATAAAATAGCAGAAACCCCATCAAATGTCAGTTAAACTGTGTTTTTTTGTCATTTAACTGTTGTTAAACAGTGTTGGGGAAAGTTACTTTTAAAAGTAATGCATTACAATATTGTGCTACTCCCTAAAAAAAGTAACTAATTAAATCCATTACTTTACTTTTGAGTTACTTTTTAAATCTGGGATGGGCTTGCTTGTTTGTTTTTAATATAAAAACAGTTATTTTTTGGCAAAGGTAAAAGCCCTTTCACACCAAAAATGAAATGAGTACGCCTCAGGCTAAAGGAAATGTAAATTCACGTCTGTAAAGTAGAAGGCACTGCTCAAACCATTCTGGACTGCATGAAGAATAGGACGCAGGAATAGGACACTCTTCAGCAATAAAAAAAATGAAACACAAATATTACGTCTATCTAAAGTTGTTTTTTGCTTATTAGTATGGTTGAATTGGATCATCAAAGATATTGGTTAATAAAATTGGATTGAATACATAAGGGATATTTGTGTTATTTAACATATGTAATTATTGCAGGTTTTTGTCATACATATATGTTACTTATTTGAAAAGTAACTCAGATATTTTCTTGTAAATTAAAAAGTAATGCATTACTAGTTATTCTAAAAAAAGTAATCTGATTACGTAACTCGCGTTACTTGTAATGCATTAACCCCAACACTGTTGTTAAATATATGTAGTTGTTTGTTGTTTCGTACAGGACGTTCTCCAGTGATTTGGGCCGTACGAAGATGGCGATTGGGTGAAGCTGTGCAGCCTGTAGCCTACGAACTGCATTTGCGGACACATCCAGAATACAGTGCTTTCCCTGCTGCTCACAAACACAGAGATATCCATATTAAGATTTACACAAATGATACACAAGTTTATTGTTTTGTCCAAAACTCAGATCTAACCTGTTCCGCCACCTCTCGGACACTCTGAACGCTGGTTCCGTACAGGTGACTGTTGTACTGGCCCGCCTCGATGAAATGATGGTTCTGAATGTCTTTCTCCATCTGTTCCCGCGATGACACAAAATGGTAGTCCCGCCCATCCACCTCATATTCCCGCTTGGGTCGTGTCGTATCTGAGAAGAGCGATGACATCATCTTGTGAGTATGATATCAGTTACGCTTAATATGACAGCTGTGTTGAAAATGGCTAATTTTGTTTGAGCTCTTTATTGCTTCTTATAAGTTAAGAGACTGTCCGCAGAAAAAATCTGGGAAAGGTTCTGAAAACTGATACGTTTTTTTCAGATACAACTGTGACAGCAAGATTAGATTAAATATGTATAGGGCCTTATGATTTCCACAATGTAAAAAATGTGGACAGAATCATGAAATCCAGTCATAAAAATGGAATTTGGCAAATTTTGGATGAATAAATCAAAAGTAGGGCTATCTGAATCAAATCATGACATGGACTAGTGTCTGTGAATTTTAAACCCATTTAAATATGAAGTCTGTGGGAATTAATGGTGCCGATTTGTTGGTACACACTCAAGCATGTGTGATGCTCGTCGTGTTTTCAACGTCTGCCGTCTCACTATATGAAGACATGAACTCATTAACTTTATTTCCAGAGTTGCAGTGAGAGTCACTTCATGAGCATTTCACTTGATTAACAATAAACCTCTCTTTAAGGAAGGAATTTTTCATTTTCATATGATTACATTTTAAAAGATGAATTACTCTGCTAATATTTTAAGCCTTTATTTGATTACCACCATTTCTGATGATAAATGTGAATTAAATCATAAATCAAAAAAGAGACATCGCAGAATTTCTAGAAAATAAATAAATAAATAACTATTATAAAAAAGTTAAAAATTTAATTAATAAATTGTCAAATTGTATAAGTTTCATGATTTTAATGAATTACACTTTTTTTTTTTTGTTGACTAAAATTTAATTTAATCATTAAAACAACATCCAGAACAATTAAAATAATAATTAAAAAAAAAACTGAATTTGGGAAAAAATAAGTGAATGAATTAATAAAAATAAGTGAATGAATAATAAATTAATTTCAAAGGACCCTATTTGTGCTCAAGGATACACCTCAAAATTTGATTCCTCAAACCTCACAAACTTTGCGCCCTAATTCCCGGAAATTGCGTAAAGCCAAATCAGATTTTTGGCTGATTTTTAGAAGGCTCTTTGTCTTCTTTGTGAGCAATATGCATCTGAGCATGACAACAGAGTTGAAGAATACTTACGAGGGACACAAGATCCAAACTTGTCTGGGAACTCAGACAGCAGGTCATCATTCACTCTGTCCTTCACCGGGCCCAGAATAATGATCGGCCTCGCGTAGTGCACTGAACAGGATGAGAGACACAAGAGAGACTATGTGATTACAAAATGGAAGTGAAGAGAAATAATACCAACAATATGAAAGATCAGTGGCTCAGTTCCCAACCCCAGTAAGCTGCCTACAAAGACCACTTTTCTAGTGCTGCAACAATTAGTCTACATCATCGACAATGTTGACGATAAAAAAATGCCAACAAATATTTTTGTTGTCGAATAATCATTTGATCTCATATGACCCAAAGTAAGGGTCTGCAATAACGCGGTTTGACCAGTGTGGCGCTGTAGCGCAAGACTGAAATTCAGCGCTCTCTGATGCAATCAAACAGAAGAAGACACGCTTATGACACAATGAATCTGTGAACCCATGAACACAATGAACATGAAAATGAATCCGAACCAGCAGAGTGTGGGAAGGTTTTACAAAATTACAAACAAAAAAAGCTGTCATGTGCAAAGGCCCTGATATTCTCACGGCAAAGTTCTTTCGTTCTTTGGTTAGGGGTAAAAAGAAGTATGATATCTGCAAACAGTGTTAGCGAACATCCAAACGCCGCAGAGAGCAGTGTTTAGATGAATGTGCAATATGTGCTGCGAGCTTTCCTCTCAATAACCAAGTAAACACACAATAAAATTTATAGAGTTGGAAAACAGCAGTTAAGAAAGCATCTCATCATAGCAATGTGGATATGTTTGCATGAGCTCTGCAATTAGCACTACAGTAAAGTCACATTTTAACCAAAGTATGTTACCAACATTTCATGAAGACCCTAAAGTATCATATCAACTTGTGGAAAATGGGCACCTGATGTCCCCTTTAAAGCAAGCAGCTTTACAGTATTAAACATGCTAAAACCATATCAGTGTCCTTTTCAGTTAGAATTACAACTTGGGTTTTCTGCTATAAAGCAGTTCTGTATGTATATGAATATGTATAAAATACACCACGTGTGTAATTATTAGGCACGTTGATATTTTCAGTTTGAGTTAAACCTCTTTTTTGGCTCATTTCATCTGTAAAAGAAAACATGCCTAATAATTCTGCACACCTGAATATAAGGAGTTTTTCACTTCCAGCCTTCATGGACAATTATATATCACTTATAAATGATTAAATACAAAATTAATAGTAGTTATTAAGATTGATGTGGTTTGGAATTAGTAAAATGTGCTTGGAAAAAAAGTATGATCAGAATATCAACGTGCCTAATAATTATGCATGCGGTGTATGTATAACTCGATATTTTAACAAATTGCTAAATCTAAATAATTAATCAAAGCCTACTGATTAATTGGTGAAATAATTGAAGATTAGTTGATTACTCATTCTAATAATCACCCTACATATTTCATACTCTCCGCACAAAAACTGTTTTTTGAACATATTATTATTCAGTAATGAAAAGTATCAATAACAGTAGTTACATCTAAAAATATGTTTTACATCAAAAGTCAAAATATTAGAATCAACTTTCAGTGTTAGTGTGCTATTTGTTTGAGTGGTTGCTGTCTATAGAGTGTCTGAATTGAATCACATACAGTATGAGGTTTTTATTTCATTTAGGTTGCTGCCTATATAGACCATAGAACGCAAGGCATCTCACTAGGGTTTGGATCAGAGCCAGCATATAAAATGACACAACATATGGTGACTCAGTCAAGTTATCCAACCTTCCACTTGTGCAAGTGTCTCGTAACTCCGTACTGGCTCTTCCCTTCCTGAAAGACAACAAATACACATACATCAGTTTCTGTTTGTAATACATGCAACAAAAACAAAACATTTAACTCTACTGTGCGGTTGTAACTCACCCTGTGAAAGTGTACTGTCTCGACTTCGGTCCTGTCAAAAGGATACAGAGGGTACAATGCTTATTAAATTGTAATAGACTGTTTCCTGCATCAGTTTAGATGTAAACATCCAGTTATTGCAGCATTTGTCATGGCCTAAAGGGGTTAACAGCCCATAATAAAAGTGTAGGAGATGCAGAGCTAATGCTGCCCCCAAGTCCTGTCAGAATGATTATATTTATGAGATGAGCAACTGAAAAATATTGTTGTGAAAAAAGGTACACTTTAGTATACTTTAAAACTTATACAATTTACTAATACGGAATAGCATATTTTAAAAGAATATACTTAAGTGTGTACAGAATGTAATGTTTTCCTCAAACTGCATGCTAATTGTAATTAGATGAAAATGTATTATATTTTAAAGTCATATTAAAATGCAGTTAGCTGAACTTTAGAGTGCTTTTAACCCACTTAAGTAGGACTTAAAGACATCTTTATATATAAATTATACATAATTACTGTAGCTGTCTGAAATATGGTTAGTGTACTGCTGAATGTACTGACAAGCATCTATGGTAAACTAAAATATACTTTAACATCATTTCTATTGAGGCTTGTATGTATTTCAATATATTTATAATTACACACTTGTAATGATGCAGTTTAGTACATTTAAATATATATTAACTTTAAATGTGATATCAAATAACACTACAGTTAAAATTGTATGTGCTTTAGTATGTTAGTAAGTGTACTTATTTAAATTACAAAATATATTTTTAAATGATTTAATTATGTACTTTCAAGTTAAACTTAATTTAAAATTATGACAGTGCAGTTCTTTGTACTTAAGTGTGTTAAGAAAAAGTTATAAAAGTAGACTCTTTGTAAGCACACTTAAAGAACAGTAATGTATACAATTTTATATATTTATATTTATATTTATATACAGTGGTGGCCAAAATTATTAAACGCTAGTATTTTTACCAGCTAAAAAAGGTTTTAAGTCAGTTATTTCTATCTTCTGCTGTAGTGTGTCAGTAGGAAATATCAGTTTACATTTCCAAACATTCATTTTGCCATTAATTGTAATAATCCAGTAAGATTTTTGTTTGCACAAGGAGTCTGACAACAGCCAGTGCTCCACACAGAGATCAGACCTCAACATCATCCAGTCTGTCTGGAATGACATGAAGAAACAGAACAAACTGAGACAGAAAGTTAAGTGATAAAGAAAATCTATTTATGACATTATTTTTGATAGCATCCTCATTTTACAGCATTTTTACACAAGTGCCTAAAACTTTTAACAGTACTGTAGCTACTGTAGATTTAGTCTGTCTCTGTTCTGTTTCTTCATGCCATTCCAGACAGACTGGATGATGAAACCATTTTTTAGATGGTGAAAATACTAGTGTTCTCATCATTTTGGCCACCACTGTGTGTGTGTGTGTGTGTGTGTGTGTGTGTGTGTGTGTAAAAATAACATAATTCCTAAAGTCATTATATATATATATATATGCATATATATATGCATCAAATACACCTGGCCCTGTCGCAAATTGCACCTTAAACCCTCAAGGTCTTCCTCTGAGTTCACACTTTTGTGACGTAATACTGCTTTGACTTTTGGGTGGAAGTCTGCTGTCGAGCTCGCCTCAGTATGACCGCAAGTGCACATGAAGTGTGCCATTTGGGACAGGGCCAATCACGGAGCGCGAACGTGTCTGTAACGAGCTAGAACGGACCTCATTGGTTCTCGTGTGTCACGCACGCACATTTGAGTGTTTTCTTTTCCTTTTAATGGCAGTTGACAAACCCACTTGAAAGTTTGCAACACTACCTACTGCATAACACCGGCATGACAGCTGATGTAAAATAAGGATCAGGCTCAGGATACCCGATACTAATCAGTTAAAAAATAAAATGCTTAATCGGCCCCGATCCCGATCCTTGAGATTGGCTTGGGACATCCCTACCTTTATTTCGTTAATATTTTATCTGTCAGTACTTTGTCAGTACAGTAAAGTATTTTTTTTTAAATATAGTATATAAACAGTTTACTTATTAGATTTGAAGTACTTTTAAGATTTGCACTAAAATGTAACAATGTGTAACATGAGCATGTGGATGTTTGTTCCCTGCATTTAAGTTTTTTTCTGCAAATGTCAATTAAGGGATTTTATATATGAATACCACCACAATGCTGAAATGCCCAGGTAAAAGATATGAAGCTTAAAATATTAATTTCCCAGGAAAACCTACAGAGAGCACTGAGCACATGTGCTGAATGCATGTGTGTGTTTGTGAGCACAGTGATCTGTATCTACAGCATGCGCCCTACAGGCAGAACAAGCTCACAATGCCCAGGAGTTTCAGTGCTTTCATGAAACAACTGCTTGATAGACTCCCATGGGCTGCAAACACACCACTGCTACTCTAAACACATCACAACTGATTATAGAGAAGAAGAACAAATCTCATAGCAGAGCCAAATGCTTTTGGAGTAATTTAAAGGAAAATATTTGAATGGGATGAACTGCAAGCAGCTGTTTGTGTTTTAGCAAGGATCTTACCCTTTCTTTTGACTTCAACCGTGACCAGTCTTTTCTCTCAACCCTGGAAGAGAGATTGATTTGAATGAATGATTCATGAAGATATATATAGATACACATATAAACAGGAAAATGAACACTGAGGGGGGAATTCCACAAAAATGAAAAAATGCAGTTCACCATCACCATCTGATTCTGAGACTTTACCTAGTGTGATATTGCTTAACTATACCATATCTTATAAAAATCTGACATTTTGAGGGCATGCTAACTGCATTATAACAGGCTACATCATGCAGTGAATGCGTGGACTCTCGTGGTGTGTTTTTGTGAAGTGAGTGACACTGGATAATGTCATTTCACACATTGTTAAAACAGCAATTAAGATATTATCATAGCTGGCACATATCTCACACCCCTGGTGCAGAAAGCACATGGTTAAACTGGATTCCAGGTGGTAAATGAAACAGTACATTTGAGCTGAAATAGCACATGCAAAAATGTCACAAATGTTTAGTGACACAAATTAAGCTGTCTGACCCTCCATAGACAGCAATACAACTGAAATGTTCCCAAGTCCAGAAACGTAGCAAGGAGATCGGTAAAATAATCCATGTGACATCAGTGGTTCAACCGTAATTTTACGAAGCTACGAGAATACTTTTTGTGTGCATTGTAGCACCATTTTGGAGAGTATCCGTTGGACGTAAACAGCGTATGCTGTTCTGTGTCAGCTGTGTCACACGGATACGCTGTTTTCGTTCAAATCAAATAACAACAATGTAGGAAACAGATCCGGCGTGACGCAGCTGACACAGAACAGCATACGTTGTTTACGTCCAACGGATACTCTCCAAAATGGAGCTACAGGGTGACGTGAAGGAGACGAATTGTTGAATAAAGTTGTTATTTCTTTTCTTTTGCACACAAAAAGTATTCTCGTAGCTTCGTAAAATTACGTCCTTGCTACGTCTCTGGACCTGGGAACATTTCAGCTGTATTGCTGTCTATGGAGGGTCAGACAGCTCTCAGATTCCATCAAAAATATTTTAATTTGTGTTCCGAAGATGAACGAAGGTCTTACGGGTTTGAAACGACATGAGGGTGAGTAATTAATGACAGAATAAATTTTGGGGTGAACTATCCCTTTAATGTATCATGGTCTCCACAAAAATAATAAGAAGCACAACTATTTTTAACATTAATACTCAGAAGATCACATAATCAGAAAAGTTTCGAGCATCACATCAGCATATTAAATGATTTCTGAGGGATCATGTGACACTGAAGACTGGAGTAATGATGATGAAAATTCAGATTTGTATCACAGGAGGGTCATTCTATAATTTAGGCTACATTTAATTTTCTTTAACCTTTTTTTTTTCAGAAAAATATTTTATCCATTAAGAGAATAGATACTATATTTTGTGCACCCTGTGTCCTTTAATTTGCAGTTTTTACAACATTCGCTTTTTAAATTTGGTGAACCTTGAGTTCAAAATAATGAATGGAAAATGTCAAAAAAGATAAAAAAAAAAAAAAAGTAAAGATTGTCTACATTAAATTTATTTCTTCAATCTAAATTCTTTAGGTAAATAGATTGAGTTTAAATTTAATTTTGCTTTCAAATAAGAAAATATTTCATTTTACTCGTGTCCACAAAAATGCCAACTTATGTGTCTAGCATCATGTGATATAATTTTCTTCTGCAGCAGACATTTTCAACATATTATGGTAAATGTCCTCAAACTTTTTTATATATTTGATCTCCAGTCAACTATTGTCAAGGTGTATATTAAAATAGCATTTTCTTGACCAGACAAGGCCTGCTTTAGAAATAATGAGTTAAAATGATGAAATTGTCAACTAAGTTATACACTTTGTCCGTAACATAGCTGACAAACTCACAACCAGGGAAAACACGATTCCTCTTCAGGAACTCGAGCTGCGTCGGAGAACGCTTTGGGAATGCCTTCTGTGACCACACTCTGAATCACATGTGAAATCAGTCCAATAGCTGGGCGAGACGTCACGGGCGGGTGACGTCATGGCCAGGAAGCTATAATAGCACGTGCGGCGGAGCCGGCGTCAGCTTTTTGTCATTCAGCAAGCGCTCTGTGTGTGTGTCAGTCTGATATCTGTTTGTGAGTCTTATTTAGTGTTGTCTGTCACGAAATCACAAGACAAAACCAAACACCTAAGGTCGAGGGCAGGCAGCGTTCAGGCTGTATGTTCCTCCCTGCCCGCGTTACTTTACGGGTGGGGATACACACAGTTTGTTTGTTGTCTGCTTGGGAGCGAAGCACAGTTGTTACTGCCTTGCTTCGTTCTCAGAGGGCTCTCTTTGAGGAGAGAGCTTTCACTAGCGTTCCTCGAGGTGCCGGCCCTGCTTTCGCCGAGGCGGAGTGGCGGCTGTGCTCGTGGGTTTCGCATATGGATCTGCTTCCTTAACAACCAGATCCAGCGCCCGCTCTTGGGGTTTCGGAAGCCTGCGCTGCGGTCCTTCCCCCCGGGGAGAGGGCGCGATGCTCCGCCTGTCTTTCTCCGAGGAAAATGATACGGAGGGCGTCAGAGAGCTCGCCAGTTGCACAAACACCAGTTACACAAGCATATTATGCCTGATATTATAATGAGCAGCAT